TATTCGTATAAATATTCGAAATTCTGTAATTATAATCCGTAGATTAAAGATTGGCATTTCACCTTATTCAAAACGTTTTTTCACTATCACATGTTGAAACTGAATCTCAGTTGGTACGGCTCTCAAAACTAAAAATATATTACCCCTCATTTAATTACATTAATGAGGATCGACAATGATTGACATTATGCCATGCAATGCTGATAAAAATCATGAATTTGATTTTTTTATTCCTTCTTATGGGTGATAAATATTTCAACAAGTAAGATCAAGGGTAAAACTGATACATGATCAATTAGAATAAATTTGTTTTGTATTGGACCTGTGTATTTTTCTGAACCACAGGGTGTTTTTTAACGCAATTCAAATTTTATGTGCCTTGAGACACTTTTTAATGACAATACAAACAACGCATAGGGTGGTACCCCTGTTTTATTTATTAAAATGCCGATCAGCTGATAAGAATTGTTGAACTGTGGTATTTTTCCAAATGAGAGCAATCGTAGAGTAAATACGTTAAAAGTAAATAATTGTTTTTGGGCCACGAATGGTTTGAAATTAAGTTTCCAGTACAGATACATGAACTATACAGATACATAGACTTGTAAAGACTTAGGGAAATAGGATCTGTAGGAAAAAAAACGTAGATCTAAAATTCATACTTTATTTTAGCCTGCAAAACGCTATGTTGAGTCTTATCTTCTATATAAATAAAATTAGAGTTTTGTCTGTACATTGCTCAGAATTATATACTTTTAGGTTATTTTTACGTTTTATACATTAAAGAAGCAGAAACGAGTCTTATCTCAATTTCTGTCTGTCTGTCTGTCTGTCTGTCTGTCTGTCCCTTTGTCTGTAACACTCAAGATGGCATTTTACGCAATCTTCTCTGTGAAAACCAGAGTACATATCAAGATCCAAGTCATTTTAATGTATTCACTGGATTGGCGAGAGTGTCTTTAGTGATTTAAATATAGCCTCACTACTTTGTAAATAAAATTACGGACGTTCAAAATTGCAGTTTTGTGCGATTTTTGTCAAATTTTCGTTCAATTTTTATCACATAATCGTCTATGAAATAATGAACAGCTGTTCGGATCAAGATTATTTTTTCTAGCTGTCAATGAAATGTTTACAAATGTTGTTTACAAATACCGCAACTATTTCGAATCACGTTTTGAAAGCAAATCCCAACCAAGTGAGATTAAAAACGTTTTTCTTACATAACGGATTTAATTAATCGCAAGTGCAATAATATAGTCTAATAGTGTAACCGTAAATGAAATTAAATAACTAGACATCGTCCAAATCGGAACCAGAAATTCTTTGAGTATAAAATGTTTCTTGAGTTTTGACAACCAGAAAGAAGAAGACCTTGAATCAGTGTTGTATAGGGCTGTGACACTGAAATGATCGTCGCCAATAGCTTACAAAAAAGGTTTTCACTCATTGACGGCGCTTCAATGGCGATTGTGTAAAGTGTAAAGTAAAATATCACAACTGCAGTGGGTGATTGTAACAGAAGTTTAACAGAGGAAGTGCTAAACTCGCTTTTCCAATGTGTCACTTTCTGTTTCTACTCACCGTGTGATGCAATCGCTGGACCATACAGCCAATAGGCCCATAGCTCATATCTTGGGTACGTAAGCCTACATATTTATTCATAACAACCTTTTTGACGACGATCCTTGGTACCGGTACTTTTCCATAGAATACATGGCCTACCTACTTAAAAAATAAAATTACAAATGACCAAATCCCCAACATTGTGTGATTTTCGTCACATTTCCTTCTAATGTTAATATATATACTAATCATTGTTTAGAGAATGCGTAATCTATTAAATAACAAAAAGTTGTTTGGGTAAGGTTGCTTCTTTTTCAAACTGACACCGATAAGTTTACGCTATAACTTTTTACGAGAAAATCCAAAAGCAAGAGATCAATAACCTCGGGACTAGATATTAATGTATTTAATTGGTCCGATTTACTGTAATTCTTAGGTAGGTTCTTACGTAGGTACTGGTTCTTTTTCTTAGAACCGGTAGTTTACAAATTAGGCTAGATATCGTTGGTGTTGCACCTTATTTATTAGAGCCGTCCGTATTCAATTTAAGTGATGTCTTAACTCTGTATAAGTTTTGCTTTTTCTGCCTGGATTCCAAATCTTAGCTTACCCGGTATGCTAAGAAAATGATAACCTATTTGAGTAAAACATTTGTTGGGCAAACCATCATGAATTGTTTACGCCTTTATATTGTTTATGTATCAATAGTTCGTGGCCTTTGTTGGATTGTTGTATTGTGTTGTTTTGTTGTATGTTGGTAACGCATTAATGTCCTTATTTCTCAGTGTTTCACGGAATGGACAAGAGCACCTTTGATACTGAAAATGTCAACCGGAATAAAGTGTTAAATGGTGAGGTTGAGGTAGTACTTTAAATACGTTTAAGTTAACCGATGTGGAAAGTAACTTTCAATTATAGGCCTACTTTAGGGCTACGCTTCATAGATCTATAAAACATTTTTAAGTTTAATCATTGGACATATGGACCAACACGATCCGGGTGACATTTAATTGCGAAGCATTTATTTTGGCTTGAACTGTCAGATACTGTATTTGCGAAGGTTTATATATAATAGTTTTGCCAGCATATCTGCAAATATGCAAACTAATTGCTGTTCTTAATCTTAGTATAAGAAGGTTTCAACTGACTACTATAAGATCCCCGTGCGTAGAACGGGCACACAGCTAGTTTAAAATAGATGCCCAATGACACTAAACCTCATAGATATCTATGCAACAATGCATATTAGCCGATCGGAAATTAAGTAAATAAAACAGTGATAGTAACATAAAAGCTTTGTTTTGATGTTGAAATGTATCTTACGGTACTTGTAAAAACACCCTGTATTATATCAATTGCCAACTAACTATACAGCATGAATATGAAAATACAAAGCATATATCGTATTAGTTGAGTTTGCAAATTAAGGACATTTCAGTCTGCAATTATTAAAGAAGAGAGTAGTGTTTTACTTTACAGAATAAGTATTTTTATTTATTATGTACCATGAATGAAATGAAATGTAAATGACTAAAACAAAGAAATCATAAGCGTAGCTAGTCTAGTTTAGAAGCACAGGGCTTCCCTTAAATCTAAAAAAAATTACTTTTAGTTATATGATAATATCGTGACTAGTTGATTGGGACCCATTTTTAACCTGTTGACCACTGTATACAAATGATAGGTCTTTTACTCAAGGTGTAATTCCTAGATATTGGAAAACGCCCCGACTCCTATATGATCATTACCAACAAAAAAGCTATTTTACGTAGACTAAGGCTGATTTTAATGGATAAGCAAATAAAAAATCTGGACATTCCAAACTTAAAAATGAAAATCTATATCAATTGAATGTACATATTTGTGGCTTGAATACACAATCCAAAACCTTTTGCACATCTGCAAAGGTATATCTCTAGATAGACTCTGGTTTCAATGTAAACTATAATATGTAGGAGTAAATATATAGAAAACAGCTCAACTGTAATCGTGTGTGGATGTTTAAACCCACTCTGATAAACTATCTCGCATAAACACCCCCAACATTCAGTTTATCTTTCAATAAAGACCTGCCAACTAGACAAATGGTTTTCAAAGCGTTAACAAATTACTCACAAGCAAAGCCGCCTTACGAGTTTAAAATATTCAATAATGGTGTCAGCCTGTCAAGACCTCTTTTGAAAACTAACTTGTTTTCCCAGAACTCATAGAGATCGTGGGCGTGGGAACTGAGTGGATGTAATTCATAACCAATGGGATCTAGTGTAGAACATGCGGGCTATGGAATAATTGTTGGGACCGGGAGGAGGCTATGACACGTCGTGACGCCCCGCGGGAGGCTAAAGTGTGTGTTAATTCAATTATTAAAAGTCTTAGTCACGCCTGACAAAATAATGTTAACGGTGAAACACGAGATGAATAAACGAGGTTGTTGGATAAATGGGGATATCGTGGAGCAGTTAACTTGAGTTTTGAATCTGTTTAGGGAATACCACAAGGTTTAAAAATTCATTGATGTTGGTTCTGAAAACTATTATTATTTGGAATTTTCCAAATAATAAATAGTTTCTTGTGATTAAAACTACTCAACGTTTCTGTAGGTGACCAAATGACCTCAAATGTTACCAGACAGGAAACTGCTTATTGAAAACCTCTATTTACAACATATCTGGAAATAGTAGTTTTCAATAAACAGTTTTATGACTGCTAATTACATTCTGCAGTACCTTTTGGAGGCTAATTAAGATTGTTGTAGTTATTAAAAATTCGCTTGGAAACGGGAGGAGTTGATCCACCTCCAGAAACGTTGTGTAGTTTTAAACACAAGAAATTTTTGAAAAGTCATTCTTTACCACTGGTATTAGAAATGCTACTATTATTCTTTAATAATAATAGTAAAATTTCTAATACCAGTTGTAAAGATGATCTTGGTATACAAATACCTCTTGATTCAGAGAATACAATTTTCTTTACACCTTTGATGTGAGATCGAAAAACTAAAATGAAAACCAGATATTTCATGAAGGTAATCGATTATGTGGGAACTATTTTGACGGAGAGCATGATTGTGTATGGTTTGTCCATTATTGAAACAATTTAATAACAATTAAACACAAAATACTTTAAAATAAATTCCTATTCTTACTTTTTAAGCTAATTGACACGAGTAAGAGGATGGCCATTGATGGAGTCAAATTAAATTCAATTTTAGTACTTCATTTTTGTTAGGAATTGCCACTTGTCTGCACACTGTGCGAAAATCAGTGAGAGACTTGAACGCTGGTAGAGACGGATGGCGCTAGATGTGGGTGATTGGGATATGAGTCAATAGAGGTACTTCTCTCCCTCTCTCTCCCTCCTTCTATCTCCCTCTCACTCAACTCCCAGTGGTCCACGGATCTGAGGAGTCTGCGACCCGTCAGTCGTCCGGCGACCGTGTTGGTGCAAGGTACGAGAACACGCCGCTCAGTTGTAGTTCGGTTTTGTGCGATCTCTAATTATTTTTTCAGATATTATAATTTAGAAATTTTGAAACATATTTTTCCGTTTTGTTTGAAAATTTAAGAGTTTATTTTAACAGCAATTTAAAAATAACGTTTATTTTGTGGTGTTTCTTTCTGTGATTTTGGATATTTGTGACTATAATGAATTAAGACAGGACTCGCAAAATGGAAGTGGACCTAGATGCTAACAACAATTCGACAGACAAGAAAGGATACTCTTTACGTCCGAGATGTGCTCCTAAGACGACAGAAGTAGAAGATATACCGGAAGAACCTCGCAAGCCTCGGGGGAGAACTCAAAAACCCCCCAAGCAAAAAACCCTTCCCCTCAGTAAGTACCGAAGAAAAACAGCTAATGCCCGAGAACGCTCTAGGATGAGGGAAATAAACGAAGCTTTTGAAACGCTCAGGAGATCCATTCCGTTGATAACTACAAAATGTGACAGTCCTAATGAGAAAAACACCAAGATATCGACTCTTCGGCTCGCGATGAAATACATAACAGTTCTATCTAACGCGTTGAGAGATTCGGATGGTGATTCAGATAAAGACTCAATCTTCAGCGAGTACAGCATCACTCCTGCGGACTACAGAGATTCCTACACCCCGACATCCCTCAGTGACCACTCCGACTTCTCTGATAGTTTCTTCAGCACAGGTCTCTCTCTAGAAGTGACTCCTTCTGTTCAAACATTCACCACCTCCTCGTTCTTGTCGGAAAACATGTTCCAAAATACCTTACCTAGACTAAAACCCACTGAGAGTACTTACAAATTGAACAGTGTAGGAGCTATCAGTGAGAGACAAAGTGAGTTTTTGAGTTTGAACGATTCCTCATCTTCAGCTTCTAATTCGCCCCAGGACTACCCCGTGTCTAGGATACCCTGTATCCAGGAGGTCACCCCCGTGGACTCGCAGACTTGTACTCTTCTGACACCTCTAGACTCTGACCTGAGGTTAACTAGTCTTGCCCCCATCAACCTGCAACTACAGTCTACACCCCTAGATGACTGGGACGACCTTAACTTATCCAGAGTAGATTTCGATGAGTTGCTCAGCACATGAGTGTGTTAGTGTTGGACCTGTAGATTGAGTAAGTAGTTTTTACAATATAAAATAGTTTTTTCGAACGGTTTGACTACTAGAAAAAATTAAGCAGTCAAAGAAAAAGCAATCAATAAACTGCACAACTGTTTTAATTACAAAGTAACCAATGTAATAGAAATCATAAGTGATTTGTAAAACATATCAAGCTAAAAGTAATAGGATGAAATCATTTTGTACATAACCTGATAAAAGATTTAAGGTATTGCCGATTAATTGTAAAATCTTGTTACATTTTTTGCCAAATTAAGATAGAATCATGTACTTTGATACATACTAGGCCATTGCAAGCATATATTTTACATAGCAGTTATTTTGTAGGACATAAATACATTCAAACAATGGTTTTGTCATCGAGATACTCCCTTAATTTGTAATATTTCACCCATTTACCTCTTCATTGTCGTATATTTTTTTAGGAGATATTGTGCTTAATTTATTTAAATTTTAAACTCATTTCTTTAAGCTTATAAAACAAAAGGTGAACTTCAAACATGCACAAATCCGACAGCGCTTTTGTATTCAACTGTTGTTTTTTTTTTTACCTGATAGAGTAAAAGAACCACAGAATTCTTAAAGCCTTCGAGAACTATTTATTTGTTACTTGAGTAGAATTGACAAGTCATATTCGACACTACTCTATGATTTATTAAGACAATTCAAAACAATAATTAAATCCTAATGAGATACTTTACTAGTTATTATAGATAACGATAAAACAAGGATAAAATAAAATAACTGTCATGCTAAACCAAAAATGGCTTTTTTATTTATTATGTTTTTTTCATCACGAACAATTTTAAATGTATATGATTCATCACCCAACCAATTAGTGACACAAACAAATTCTGCTTTTAATAACAAGTAAAAAACATGTATACAAACAATAACATCTTATACAAACTGGTAGGTTTGGAGAAATATTTCCCATTATTGTATGGATTTGAAAATAAAAGTATGCTATCACATTAGTGAGACCATTAATGTCAAACCGGTTAAGGTTTTCTCACATTTTAAATTCACTATCTTAATCAATAATACATTTTTAATACTGTCTCAAAGAATTATAATTTAGGTATAATGATTTAGAATGGAAATGAACCAAATCTCTTGTGAACTTCTTACAGTTGTTATTTAATGGTGAAAAGTAATTATAACTATTTCAAAGGTATCATGTATCTACAATAAAAAAATAAAAACTTGAAACACCTAATCTACAAATTGGTTACAATTTACAGTAACCCTATTTTTTATTTTACTGTATACATAAGGATTAATATTTCACATTATTATGAAGTTGTAGTTCATTTGATCAATAAGTTTTATTTTTAAAACAATATTTTCAACAAGTTGCAGGTATTGGTCAACAAGTTCAAATTATTAAGATCATTCGAAATTTGGAGTTAGACCTGTAAATAGTTGTTATGTAATTGAAATTAGTATATGTATATATCTTTGTACATTCATTATTGTGATAATTTGTTATAAGTAAACTACATTTTAGTATATTTTGTGAAAATCGAATAGTACATTTTAAACAACATATCTAGATGTACAAACTGTTTTATACATATCAGTACTCATAGGTGCCAAAATAGGTTTTTTAGTAGTTGTGCCATAGTTGTAAGATATGTAATTTTGTAATTATACAAGTTTTAATACTGACGCATGTTCTTATTTATCCCTTGCAGTTATGTGTGGTAATAATATGTCAATAGTCTATATTTAAATCGCAATTGAAAAATCATCTTCACTAACTTAATCTCCAATATTTCAGACCATAGTATACTTTTAACTTATGTTACCTGCCAAAAACTCAAACAGAGGAAAGTTGAATTGCAATATATTTATTTAAGCAAAGAGTAAACACATTTTTAATAACGATCATACCTCACACCAGATATTAACAGTAGAGTTCAGTATTTGTACAATTAAAAAGAAACTTGATAAAAACAATGCACAGTTGTTGAATTTATTCTGTTTATTTGGAAAGTTATAAGAATCACCTGGCATTCAATGTGTAACATTTGGACTATGAAGAAATAAAGTTAAAGCAAGGCAGTAATTAAATTCACCTAGTAGGTTAAATTATAAGATGGCATTGTTCCATAATGTTCACAAATGTGCTGGTTCGATCCACGAGAAAGATAAGTAAGTTTTTGATGGATAGATAATGTAGACTCAAAATAAAATCACTCAATTAAAAATGTATGGTTACAATGTATCTAATTGTGGAAGTTTTTAGTAACTCACCGAAAGTAAAAGTGAAGCTAATTTCTTAGCAGTAAGGAATTTCAAATATTAAATTTTAAAAATTGAACTTGAAGTGTAAATTACGATTAATAAGGTTGACAGTTTACTACACTACAAAATACTAACTGAAGGGATATTTCTCAGAAAATATGAAAGGGTAACTGTGTCTGGTAAGAGGGGACCTATATCTGCATTGTAGACCCTACTAGAATCCACATGGACAGTTATTTATTTAACAAACAACAGCTAATCCGTAAATCCAAAGTAAGTCAGGTAAGATGTACTGGATACGAGACTGGTAGTAATCAAATTAAATTAAAGTGCCAGTGGGGAATATAGGGTCTGAGAAAAACAAACACATTTAGGTTTTACCTGCTTAGGTAGACTGTTTATGACCTGTATCTACAGCTCAATCCGTCGAAACTTCATTTTCAACCGTTTTCATCATTAGAATCATGCCGAAAAGGCCTTAACCGAAGTTACAGTGGAATGAACTATAGGCAAAGGTAAACCCAATTTTTAGTTATATCAGTTAGGGGCTAAACATTGATTTTAATTCAATTAAAAATTGGGGTTTTGTAGTATTACATTATACAAGTAAACATGGATTCCCTTAATTCTTAGATACCACAAATAAGATGAGTATTTTAAAAATTGTCTTACTCATCAATAACTTCCTATTGCATTAGACACTATCCTTAACAAGCCTAATAGTGATAGTAAACATATCTGCGTCAGCAGCTTAGTTGTAGCGTTCAACTTAAAATTAAAAGTTGCCCATTACAATTTGAGAACTAAGTTTCCAGTTGCAATTGGGCAATTGGGCTAAAACAGTGTCATTCTAAGCAAAACCAGGGTTTAAACTATGCATGACAGCCTCCGAAGTTTACCAGCCAACATTTTGTGGGTGGAAGAAAGCTGTACTTACATAAACCAACCTACTTATCGCTCTTTGAATGAATCGAACCCCATTTCAACAGTGTGGTCAGTTGAGCCGGTCGGTACACGGCTTGCCGACAGCCAACAATTAGCTCTCCACGGGCTTTCATCATTTCAGCCCCAAATATGGTCATCTGGGCCACTACAGGTGTGTATTTGTGTGTGTAAGTGTGTATGTGTGCGTGTACGTCCTTGCGACTTGTTTGTAATCAGTCCATAATAATGATTTGTGATTTGAGACGAAGTTGTTTACTTTTCACTTTCCTTGCAAGTTGTGCAACTAAGTTGCGGTGTTATACAATGGTATGGGATCGATACAGGAATTGTGTTAAGGAAATAAATGGGATGGGGAGGATGACTTAGCAAGAGTGTAAACATTTTGCAGTTTGGGGGTTTAAGAAATTCAAGGTTTTAATGGAAGCAATGTTTCTGTAACGATACTTGTTCAAATAGGAAATCATATTTCACGTAGCCGAGAACTCAAGACCTTGTATTGTATTTAATTTCTAATAATTATTAAACTTACAAAGTATTTACCATGGTTGATGTGGTGTTTATAGCATTGCTATGTATTCTATTACAAAAAAGAAATATAATTGGCAACTATTTACACACATATAAGTAAATTGGTTGATAATTGTTTGATTGGTAATTAAAATCTGCCTGAACCGATTGCTTAAATGCTTCGGAATCGTATACAAATAGCTCTTAACTGATAGCAAACTATCTATATATCTATTTTAGTTTGAGATTGAATGACATTTCCAGAGAGAGAAGATAAAAGAAGAGAGGAGAAGACTAAAAGCCTAAACATTAATGGTTGAAAGAAAATACAATTTGAGCCTTCACATAGCATATTTTGAACAGAAAAGAAGAAAAACCATGTATGATAATTTTAAGTGAATTTCATACTGATTCTTCATCAATACTTATGTAAAACCAATTTGCTCGTATATTGACTTAAATCTAAAAACAACCCTCACGAACATCGCGTTAAACTAGATTTATTTGTTGATAATTTGTTTTACAACTCTTTTAGCACTTGGGCTTCACCAGCTTCTGGCGTCGAAGTGGTCAACACCTCTTAGCAACTCCATAAAACTGTTGCATTAAGATGTTACTGTCAATTCTTAAATGGAGTTCAAAAGTGTACTTTGCATGTTTATTTAGGTTTTATAGATGTTTAATGATCAGTCCATTACACCTATCACGGGTTTAATGTGTTAAACTATGTGTCTACACAAGATAGAGGCGTCTTTACTGTCTCAAACGCTTTGATTGACTAAAGTGCTTGAGATTAAGATAGACTGAATGGTAGGTAGAAAATAATGACATGATATGTGAATAACTACGTGGTAAGACCCTTGATGTCAAAAACATCTCACTTTATGTGATCCTCTTCTCATCCCAGATCCTTCTTTCTCTTGACATATTTTAATTGATTTAATTAAAATATAATGGTTTATTTTTTTATTGATATTTTTATTTGGTTAGTTTGTTTTGAAGTGTTGTAGTAAACCATCAGATCACCTATGTAATTTTACCATCTTTTGAGATTAGTAAAAATATGTTGAGTTGTTATAATGCATTTTTGTATATTCATTCGTAATTTCAAACATGTACAATGCTGATTAATAAGTTTGTTTACAATGAAAACCTTGGATTTGAATCAATTGTCCTTTACGTTTTCGTGGTACGTAGTACAAAAATTAACACATTGTTCATTTAACGGCGGAATTTTAATTTCAATCCATAAATGTGTAAAAACCAGTGAACCAATATAAACTCTTATTGACTAATTAATCAATTTGTGTAATGGATTACTGACAAAAATAATTCCAATATGACATATTATGAGACCGAATAATAGTCTGTTTCGAAATCCCCGCCTATATTGAGTACTAATCGCGAAATTATACCGATCAGATAAACAAATCTCTCAATAAACAAAACAAGGGTGATTACTAATCAGATAGGCATTGATTATAGGCCCGGCTCACATGGGACATCCAACCTGGCAATATGACAGCCAGATTGCGGTTATCAACAGGCCTTACGTTATAATCGGAACAGACCACATTTGGAACGGTCAAGTCCAAAGATTGGATAAAAGATGACCTAGTAAAGATATTGTAAGGACATTTTATTTCCAAATTCGGTTATGGTTGAGACAATTTGGGTTGGTAACCTAAAGTTGATAAGGTCAAGTGATAGAAAATATTAATCACAGATTC